ATACATACATACATACATACATACATACATACATACATACATACATATGAGGGATGAACAAAAACCAAAACAACAGCCACTTGAAAGATATTCCTCAACATATCTCAACATCAACAAGCAGGTTGAATATGGATTAAACAACATGTGATGCCACCCGCAGAACATCACAAAGCTCTTTGATTGACAATATCAATTTATTTTATATATATATACACACCGAAAATGCACCAAACTATACACCGAATAATTATCAGTGGTTCTCGGTTCCTGCTCCACCTCAGCTTAAGCTACGCACGGAGGCTTCGCGCCCTGCCGCCGCCCCACGCCCTGCCGCACTTCCTGTTCGGAAGCACGCGCGACGCTTCCTCCGCCATCCGACGGGTCAATCCGACGTGAACCGCACGGTGACGCTGAGCGCACTGAGACGCATGTGGTTCGAACCCTGCACGCACTGCGATGTGTGGTCGGTGGTTTTGACACCTGGCCTGAAAAAGGGCTTCCGGGCTTCGAACTCTTCACGCAAGAGGCACCACTAGGGCTGAATATTGAATGGGCGGCCTCTGCACCAATCACAACTCTGATCAGTTCTATTTACTGTCTCAAAGTCTGGTGCAGTGTAGTGGATGACTGCATTGCGCCTGGTAGAATCATGCTCTCAGCTCATGTTTCAAGATAGTCTAGTTGAAATCCCCGGAGAATTGCTTGGTTTCTTCTAGGAGTCTCTCATCAGTTGGCTTCTTTCAGCATGGCACCTGTGCTGCTCAAATGTTCAACTCCTGTTGGAAAGTTGTCACTACTTGGAAGTCGGAAAAAGCTAATTCTTTAGGGAAGCGGAGTCTAGTCTTCCAAGGGGTCATTCTCCACATTATCCACATCTTTCGGGGATTGCAGATTCATCGTGGGTGAACACCAAAGGGTCCCTCTCTTGTCTGCCGTCTCAGTCATGGCGGGTCATATCCGGACATCAAAGGCACCTAACTTAGTGCGTTGATGTGGACATCCCCGAAAAGCCTCCTAATACCCTAGAACTCCTGGAGCCCCTAGAAGTCCTAAGACTTGATTCTGAAACCATGGCAAAGCCATGAAAGTATAGACAAATCCTTTCACCTATAGAAAGGACGCTACTAGGGGCTCCTGGCCTTACTGCTACGAGCAAGAAGCTATATACTAGTAACAAAGGGCATTGCTACTAGGAACAAAAAGCTACTAGGGGCGCCTGGCACTAGGAGCACGGACGCTACTAGGGGCTCCTGGCATCGCTACTAGGAGCACGGACGCTACTAGGGGCTCCTGGCATCGCTGCTGGGAGCAAGGACGCTACTAGGGGCTCGTCCTGACATCGCTGCTGGGAGCAAGGACGCTACTAGGGGCTCCTGGCATCGCTACTAGGAGCAAGGACGCTACTAGGGGCTCCTGGCATCGCTACTAGGAGCAAGGACGATCGCTACTAGGAGCAAGGACGCTACTTGGGGCTCCTGGCATCGCTACTAGGAGCACGGACGCTACTAGGGGCTCCTGGCATCGCTACTAGGAGCACGGACGCTACTAGGGGCTCCTGGCATCGCTGCTGGGAGCAAGGACGCTACTAGGGGCTCCTGGCATCGTCACTAGGAGTAAGGACGCTACTAGGGGCTCCTGGCATCGCTACTAGGAGCAAGGACGCTACTAGGGGCTCCTTGGCCTTACTGCTAGGAGCAAGAAGCTACGAGCAACAACAAAGGGCATTGCTACTAGGAACAAGAAGCTACGACTAAGGGGCTCCTGGCCGTACTACTAGGAGCAAGGACGCTACTAGTGACAATTTCTTGAATCCGTATTGGACTTACACGGCGGATAGATTTACTCGGGCTCAGCTCCGACTTGTGACCCGCACACCCGACATTCGCCATCTCGCCCACGCTCGTCCACAAGACATTGAGAGATCACCAAGGAGCATATGCAAATTATCTTCTTTCTTGCTTATCTGGAAAATGATGTGACTGAAGTTGAACACTGATGTTCAATGCTATCACCAAAGTGTTTAACGTTCAACCATGATCGATACCATGTTCGATACCACCGGTGTGCGCCATGTTCCAACTTCTGCCGTTCACAGCGCGGCGAAGAGACGCCGACTCCTCGCGTCCGTGACCGCCGTCCGCCTGCCACGGACGGCGGTGAAGTGGCGGGGCACCTGGCCCCTTCTGGGGGGGCCCGCAAGGGGTGGTGCCTGACGAAGCTGGAAGCTTGACAGAAGCCAAGGTGCTGGGCATACTGGATCTCAAAATGATCACTGAATGGTTAGATGCAACTTGTGCAAATGGCACCTCATCAACCATGTCAATGAGTGCTTGTTTCATTAATGAGTTGAAGGATTTAGAGCCACTCGTCATGTCTTAGTGATTAGTGGTGACCATAGTGGATGCCTGCAACGCGACACAATGTTCTGGACATTCATGGAAACACCTAGCTGGGACAGGAAGGGCCCAGCAAGGAAGCTTCTCCGTGTGGAGCACGATTGTGAGATATGATCAGTTGTTGACCTCTGCTAGATGGCCGTCATTGAAAGGATCCTACCGGTCCCAATGTCAATGGGAGTTCTTCATATTTCTTCAATGCTTGGATGATGCTGCATGGCTATGACTGAGTCACGAGAGCAAACTCTGCGACTGGTCATGGTGGGTGACGATCAAAATTGCATCCTTTCACATATAACATCACAAAGGACTAGCAAGTGGGTTCTGTAGCCCAACACAATCACTGCATGTCTTTTGTCGATTTACCTGTCCATCTACCTTGTGACTTCTCCCGATTTCTCCTGTTGTCATGGGTGGTTGACATCGCATGACATCGCTGCCTGTGGTTGACAGACACCTATGTCAAGTCAACCACATCCTTTGCAGGTCGCCCATCTCGCCACTGGCGCTCCATTTCAACTGCCATCATAGCCCCCGCGTCTGCCGAACGCCATCCCGGATTCAATGGAGGGCTAGGGAGCCAACTGAGACGCCAGTCACGGTGGGGGCGACTGAATCAGCCCGATGTCAGATGTCTAGAATCTGTTGGAATGAATTTGGAGGCACCAATCCGGAAAAAAATAGAACTTAGCAGACTTAGCACATCAAAGCATACACTCTGACCTACTAACATGGAAGTGGACAATGGTCCCAGGCCAGACCTTTTTGCTCTACGAACAACTACGGGTTTTGCATGTCCATGTTAGCGAGCGGGAGAGTACTGAATTTGCAATACAAACTTGGGGCCCAAACAAACCAAACAAACCACAAAAATCTGGCCGCATGTTTAGAACAGTCAATCATCAAGTTTGCAACACCCGTCGTACTTGTGAGCCTTGACATCAGAGCCAGGCACAAATAGATAGACAACATGACAAAATAATATAGATATATACTGCATTATATATATAACATATACTTATTTTAGTACGATATGTTTAAATCGGTAGGTGCAATACATGTCTGCTCTATTCTACTGTCACCTGTTGGCTGGGGCTCCGGTTACAACCCCTTGTTGAGTGGAATCATCCCCGCGGCTCCCAGTTCGAGGCCACTCAGGTGCGACGAGAAGGATCTCCATCTGTCGGTGCAAAACCCCGGATTCCAGGAAGGGGAAAGTGGGCCCCCCAAAAGGATCCGCTTCCTTACTTCAAGTGTATAAATGATACACCATTTGAAGTGTGCTGCTATTGGAACATCCACATGCGGCAACTTCACCTCCTTGAACAGCGACGGTTCTGTTTCAATTTGGTGATTCACTGAAATAGACATTGCTCACTCGGACTAGGACGCCCGTCGGCCTATCTGTCGCCATGAGAATAGCGGCACTTATCACCTCGGCTTTTGGTATGTCCTTGCACCTAACGTTGAACAAGGCATTGCTTCTATCATGCAATCATGAAATCAAGGCTTTCTGATGTGTCGGAAGCTATCCCATTTCATGGGCAAAATGATTGGGACATCATGAATCATTCATGCTCTGAAACTCAGCTCAGCTTGGTGGAGTATCCGCCACGAGTTCTTGCCCAGCGGCCGCGCTTGCAGTCCCCTCTTCGGAAGTCTCCGCCTAACGGGTTCAGAGAAGGCACTGGAGAGGGCGGCGGTTTGTGAAGAAACAAACCTCTGCCCTATGACTTTATGATCTATACAATGCCTTCTGAGAGGTCGATTTGAAACACTTTGATGTAGGCGAAGTCTTCGGTTGTAGGGTGACATGGAATTTGTGTATCACATTGTGTCATGATGATTCTTGCACGTCTACAAGACACCATACGACACGTCTAGGAGACGCTGAGAGGTGAAACATGATGTCTCGTCGTGCTGGAATTATGACTGGTGCATGTCATGTCGAGGACATGGATTCATTAAACAAAGTTGTGCGGTGTCACAGCATGTGCACCAATTTCACCACATGGTCATCGAACGTATGGATGTTGTATGTTGTCATCGATTAGTCATGTGAACACAAAGGGATGGGAGGTCGGCCAAGAGTTTCTAGAAATCAGAAGCATGTACTGTGATGTTGATAATTTAGGGGCTCTTTAGTCAGCCATAGTCAGCCACAAGTCCGGCTGTCGTTGACCCAGTGGTTCTGAACAAATGGCTTTCAATTGAGCTACTGAGATCATGGAATGCAACACGCACAAGTTTGCCATTCCCAAATGGATGCTGGAACACCATGTCTTGGCCAAATTATGGTGTGAATTGAAACGATTCCTGAATTTCCAGTGAGTGTGATGGTCGATGGTCACAGAGTGCCTTACTCGGCTTTGACTGACATCATCTTTCAATTTGCTTTCCGACAGTCTGTTGCACCTGCAACCCCCAAAAAGATCTTCTCAGCTTTGAAAACATTGCTGAAATCACACGGAGCCTGAAAAAGAATAATGAAAAGGAGCTTTGACGACTGTGCTTTTCACACCTGATGCGAACCTCCACTCCTGATGGAGTTGCTTGATGACATAACTCTGAAAGGTTCAAACAATCATGGTTGCCCGCAACTTTACTTGACCTTTTGAGTGTGAATTCTACTGAGGCTTGAAGTCCACATGACAAATCTTCCCCAACGGAAGCACACTGCTCAAAACGTGCAAATATTGAAACAAATCCTCAATTCCCCAATGGAATTCAAACATTCAAGCAACTTGGCAAATGAGAACTATGAGAAATATCCTTTCATCACACGGCCGTGGTGGACCTAGTAGTCTCGCCGCCTAGGAGGTGACCATGGATGTAGTGACCATGACATGGGTCCATGCAGCAGTGACCCACCAAGCTTCCTGATCAAGTGGCCCCGCACCCAAACATGTGCCCAACTACTACATGATATCACATGATTATATAGTAACTTAATTAATGTACTTGACTTATTTATGTGATAGGGACTGATCAGGTACTGAATTTCCACACCGAAATGATCTGATTCCAGCCAACTCTCAATCAACGCCTTCAACTTAGGGAGGCCACGTAAGAGAGTCTCTCTCTCAGACCGGGTCAGCCCGGTCAGCCCGAGCACCCCACCATTGAGACTCCCGGCACATTTCCTTGAAACCCGTCTTGCCCTTGTTGGGGCAATCTCTGGCCAAATGCCCGCTCCTCAGGCGGCTGTCTAGGTGGGTCGACTCCCAAACAGCGAAAACCCACCTGAAGGTCTTTGGGTTGGGGACGACCTGAAACGAGTTTTTTTTCTCTCCGGGACGAAGTGAAAGGCTGTTCTCCAGTGCAACAGTTTGAGGTTTTTCTGAAGACTGTTGGCTTCTTTAGGGTGAACGTGTCACCAGGCTGGTCATGTTGATTAATTCTGCAAAGCTAGGTCTGGAAACAGGTCAATGTTTGTTTTTGTTTCCTATGGGATCTGGATGTCCGTGTGGCGAAGAAGCTCCTCCAGAAACTGGATGGTCAACAATCCATGGGCACCTTCGGACACATGAACAACTTTGGACCTTGGGTGATGAAGTCCAAAACCTGCAGGGGACGGCACCTCGATCCCAAAGGCACCATTGGATCCAGCTGCCGCTAGTAGCAAGGGTATCGCTACTAGTAACAAAGGGAATCGCTACTAGGAGCAAGGACGCTACTAGGGGCGCTACTGGCCTTACTAATACTAGTAACAAGAAGCTACTAGGAGCAAGGGCATCGCTACTAGCAACAAAGGCGCTGCTGGTCTGCCTGGGGTGCCCGGCTCACCGCAGGCATAGCACTGATCTTTGCCAGGGACCCCCATTCCACCACCACCGCCGCCTCTGCGACTACGGCCGTTCTCAGTGCCTGCGGGGCCCCGGAGGCAATGAAAATACCCGGAGGGCTTCAAGCAAACATGTATAGTGGATTGTGAGTAGATGGCACAGACCCCAAGAGGTGGTTTATATGCACCTCCATGTAAAGGACATCTTGAGGTCTGTTCCATCCACTCTGAAACGGCTGTAGTCGTTTTCCATGGTTTTCCTAACTTGTTCTGCTTCCTACACGTTGTTCAAACGCAGTTGCTCATGCAATCATATTCAACCATGCCATGTCGCACGCATGTTTCACCGCACGCAATGTGATTCTCCTTCTTTGGGACGCTATAGCCTATCGCCGCTTGGTCATGGCTTTTTGCTTCACACCTGAACGAATGACACCCGGATGTTGGGGTTGAAATCATCTGAGCTATCCAGCTGACTCCCTCCATTTCCTCGCCAAAGACCCACGTCTCGCCGTCCCGCCGTCCTCGAGACCGGGAGCGGGCCCTCCTGACGGTCGTTGGCCGCCGAACGGCCCCGTGATCACGCAGTACGCACAGCCATGCGATCGGCCCATTCCAGGAATGTCCATGAAAAAAGGGGGGTGACTTCCAGACTTGCCCTTGCACTTTTGGGACCACTTTCTTAGGCCTCAAGTAGCCTCATAATTCACTTCAGACATGGAACATAGACCTTCTCAAGACCGTCTCTACAATGTCCGTCCATGTTCGTCCTCGCCTGTGTGCATGACCCCCCAAAAATGGCACATCACCTTCAATCGTCATTAACCTCATGACCTATATAAATCCACTGTTTAGGCCACATTGGGATCCCTTCAATGATGTCCTTGTGAACAACAGAACGGATCCCAACATGTTCAGTGCCATGGCCCCCCCCAAAAAATGGCAGTTCCCAAGAAAGCGCGGTCGCCAAGCTGGTGACCCGAGCTTCAAACCAAGCATGGAAAAGCGAACGATGACCCCGGTTGAAATTCCAAAAGAACATTAACATGCTTGGGCGCTTGCTACCACTTGTTGGCTGTTGACTAGAAGTTGAAGTTGGCCTGCGTCTCTGGACGGGAAAGAAAGTGAACAATCTCCCCATTGTTCTTGACGGGAAAGAAAGTTAATAATCTCCTCACTGTTCTTGGAAGAAATTCAACACCATCCGAACCCCCCCAAACATTGTAAATACGCGATGTGTTGTCAAGAGGGGCAAAATCTTGTAGGATTTCTTCCGTCAGGCTCATTCCCCACCAAAAGTGGAAGTGACAAGAAG